ACTACCGTCTTCCCCCGAACATAACACACCCTAAAAATGAATGTATACAAGCTATATTTCCGGCCAGATACAGCCAAAATAAGGGTGCGTTGTGTTCGGGGGAAGACGGTAGTGTTTGGTCTTGGGTGGGTGCGCGGTCGTCGTTGGTACCCTCGAGGGTATAGGGGGATGACCTTGTCAGATAGTGGTTTGCCAAAAACAAAAAAACAAACAAAAAAAAAAAGGTGGCATTGAATATGGTTGGTGGTTGTTAACGCTTAAACCACCAGTACTTCCCAAAGTTGTGCCCGTTAACAAGCCACAATTTTAGGAAACGTACGGGCCACTACAGGGGCATCCACATTCATCCGACTAGAACATTTCTACTCTATTTTTTCCCGTGGCCGATAGCTGGGCCAAGTACTGGCGGTTCAACTGCAAGCAAGATCAAGGTGGATTATCACATCACAGTATCAGTGGTTAGGGGACTCGGCAGACTGTAGAGGACTCAGCCTCCTGATGAGTCAGTGAAACTCCTATGAAACAGTCTGTCACAGGCCCTCGTTTGTTGTTCTCCTCTCCCTGCTTGCATGCCCACGGTTCAACGGGCGATTCTTTATGACAATCGGCCTCCTGATGAGACGGTGACACTCCACGCCCTTGGTTTGTTGTCCTCTTCTCCCACTTGATCTATGGTTCACTGGACACTTGTCTGTGATGACGGTATCTATTTATAGCCCCCTGCTACGGTTTTCTCTGGTCAGGTTGAGCTGGAGTGGTGGGGCCTGTGACTATGTGCGGCCACGCTGTGCCTCTAATACCGGTGGTGTGTCTGGACTCGGGATTGTATTTTCTTGCGGTGACAGACATCTGTTTCTTCCATGGGGGGTTGCTTGGTTGTGATGTTGTCTGAAAACCTTCAGCGGTCTGTAGAGTCGTAAGTACGGTGCGGGTGAGCAAGTCTGTGCTTTGAAGCCTTTGGTTTTCGACGGTTTTTTGTTCTTTTTTTGCCCTCTGCGTGTGTGTGTGAGGGTTGACCACGAAACGATGCAAAGTTCGTCGCAAATGTTTGATGAGAAGGCAGCCTGCCTTTTTTTCTGTGGGGGGAAATAGCCTGTTGCTGCATCTTTATTTGAGGCCATTATGGCCATATTCATTCATTTACATTGCTACATGTGTAATAAACTATAAATGTGAATTTTCTTTTGTTCAAAATAAATTATTCACATACTCGATAGAAAACCCATCCATCGATCAGTGGGAGACTCTTCGAATGGTGTGAGAGAAGGTTAACAGAGGCCTGAATTTCCAGAAATTTCTCATGCCATTTATAAGAAAACCCAAAGACCTTTTTAATGAAACCTGTCACCCACAGTTAGAGTGCACATCACTCGCTCTTGGGCCCGTTGGGTAGGACCTGAAAAAAAAAAAAAAAAAAAAAAAAAAAAGGGGTCCCTCCCGTTACCCATTAGCGCATGGTGTTTGACCTTGCACTTGCTTTGTTCATACTTCCCTTCTCATTGTGCTCAACACAAAAGGATATATTTTTCTCTGCCGTCTTTCCTTCCTTCGTTCCTTTCTATTTTTCTGTTTTTCAGATAACGTACATCAGAGTGCAAGCCTGGTGCATCTTTGGAGTGCATTCTATTGTCTCTTGGAGATGGCAGGGGCATGGACTTTTCTTTTCTTTTTGTTGGGGGTGGGGGGGC